ATCCCAAATCGAGTTCTACGTCACCCACCCCGTTTGGGGGGGCATGACACTGTAACAGAGAGGGCCACACAATTGAAAATTGTCGGACTCTAAAGTTTCATTGCAAACACTGTGATAGAAGAGGGCATACTGAGGATAGATGCAGATACAAAAATGGCACATGGACACCCAACATTATAGACAATCAACAAGGTCAATCACAACAACAACAACAACGTGGACAACAGCGTGGTTTTCGAAGGAATTCTTTCCCTACTGCTAATGCAATAGATTCCCCTCAATCTACACATGGAGTTTATCCACAGGACATTAGCAAAACAAGCCAAATTCCTGACCCGGTCAATGCCTTGCAAGGACTTTCCACAGAGCAACTCCAACAGCTTTCCCGTGCCTTATCAATGATGAGCTCAAGCCATAGTGCTGGTAATAAAAACACTTATGCAAATGCGACAGGTCTGTCTCCATTTTCTGATGCTTTGATTAATTCTGTATTCACTAAGCCTTGGATTTTAGATAGTGGGGCCACCGATCATATCACCTCTGATTCCACACTTTTCACTAAAACACAATCATCATCAATACCTATTGTTAATTTACCAACCGGATCCACAGCCTCAATCACTTCAACTGGCACTGTATCCTTCAATTCTGATATCACCTTAGATGATGTTCTGAGTGTTCCTAGTTTTCGCTTAAATCTGATTTCTGTGAGTAAAATTACCAATGCCCTAAACTGTTGTGCCATTTTTTTCCCCACCTTTTGTGTCCTACAGGACTTGGCTACGGGGAAGATGATTGGCTCGAGTAAACAACAGGTGGTCTTTATTACATGCCTCCATTGCAAAGAACACCAACCTGTCATCAAGCCTCACACCCTTCCAGTCTATGGCATATGCGTCTTGGACATCCATCACCATTTCGCCTTAAATTAGCTTCTTCATTATTATCTTCAAAAAATATTTCTTATGACAATAATTGTACTGTTTGTCCCATGGCAAAACAAACAAGACTTCTATTTCCAATAAGTTCCATATCAACTAATGCTCCATTTGACTTATTACATTGTGATATATGGGGTCCTCACAAAGTTTCCACACACTCAGGGGCACGATTCTTTCTTACCATTGTAGATGACTTTACAAGATGTACATGGATATTCCTTATGCATCACAAGTCTGAAACTCAAAACATTTTGAAATCTTTCATTGATTTTGCTCATACTCAATTTCATGCCTATGTTAAAGCAGTCAGAGTAGACAATGGTTCTGAATTCTTGTCTATGAGAAATTTTTTTAGGATTCATGGCATTGAATATCAACGCACTTGTGTTTACACTCCACAAAAAAATGGAGTTGTTGAAAGAAAGCATCGTCACATTCTCATTGTAGCACGAGCACTCCTTTTTCAATCCCATTTACCTTTGCATTTCTGGGGTGAGTGTGTTTTAACCGCTGTTTATCTCATTAACCGATTACCATCCCCATTGCTCTCAAATAAAACACCTTTTGAAATTCTATACAATCGTCCACCCTCACTTGATCACCTAAAGGTTTTTGGTTGTCTATGCTATGCAACTGTTGTACACCCAATTCATAAATTCGAATCTCGTGCCAAACGTTGCATCTTTGTTGGATATCCAACTGGGCAAAAGGGATACAAACTATATGATATAGAAACTGAGAAATTTGTTGTTAGTCGTGATGTCAAATTCCATGAAACCACTTTCCCTTTTTGCACCTCAACCCCATCCAATTCTGATTTTGTAGTGCCCAATTTTCTCTCTGAAACCACAGAAACACAGCCTGTTACATCACCATTTCCTTCAAGCACTCATTCTCACCAACCCGAGCAAATAGAAACAACTAATGCACATGAACCCATCTCTCCCACAGATATACAAACCACACAAGTTGTTCCCTATAGGACTAATCAACCTTCCACGTCCACACCAGAAGCCGAAACTACACCACCACTTTCAGACACATCAAACATTCCTTCTGAACCTACTACTACTTCCATTCCACCTCCGAGACAGTCAACACGACCTAAGCAACCTCCGGCGTGGCATAGAGACTTCCTAATGTCATCTCAAGCTAATCAGTCTACCTCAGCACCAAGTTCTGTAACAGGTACTCGATATCCACTCTCCCATTTTCTTTCCTACTCACGTTTTTCATCTTCCCATTCTACTTTTCTAGCTACCCTCACAGATCACACCGAGCCCAAAACTTACTCTCAGGCTGTCCTTAATCCACATTGGCAACAAGCTATGAATACAGAATTAAAAGCATTACAGCTCAACAACACATGGAGCTTAGTCCCTCTACCTATCGGCCATAAACCAATCGGTTGCAAATGGGTCTACAAAATCAAATACAGATCTGATGGCACCATTGAACGCTACAAGGCTCGTCTCGTTGCTAAAGGATACAGTCAAGTTGAAGGTGTTGACTATCAAGAAACATTTTCACCAACAGCCAAGCTTACAACACTTCGATGTCTTCTTACTGTCGCTGCTGCTCGCCATTGGTACATCCACCAATTGGACGTTCAAAATGCCTTCCTCCATGGCGATTTACATGAAGTTGTCTACATGGAACCTCCACCTGGTCTTCACCGACAGGGGGAGAACACTGTATGTCGGCTCAACAAGTCCCTTTATGGACTTAAACAAGCATCAAGAAATTAGTTTTCCACATTTTCAGACACTATTCGAAAGGCTGGTTATCAACAATCAAAGGCTGATTATTCACTTTTCACCAAGGCTCAAGGTACTTCTTTTACAGCGATTCTCATATACGTTGATGACATACTCCTCACAGGAAATGATCTACATGAAATGGAACGCCTTAAAGGATTCCTTCTCAAGCGCTTTCGTATCAAAGATCTTGGAAACTTGAAGTACTTTCTGGGTATTGAATTTTCCCGCTCCAAAAAAGGTATTTTTATGTCACAAAGAAAGTACGCTTTGGACATTCTGCAAGATTCAGGACTCTTAGGCGCGCGTCCCGACAATTTCCCAATGGAGCAAAATTTGAAACTCACTCCCACTGATGGAGCGTTGCTAAATGATCCAACAAAGTACAGAAAACTAGTTGGCAGATTAATTTATCTGACGGTGACAAGGCCTGACATAGTCTACTCAGTTCGCACACTGAGCCAATTCATGCAGGAACCTAGAATACCTCATTGGGCCACTGCCATTCGAATCCTCAAATACATCAAAGGTACCCCTGGTCAGGGATTATTACTTCCTTCCGCTAACAGTTTAGCTTTGAAAGCCTTTTGTGATTCGGATTGGGGAGGTTGTCATGCCACAAGAAGATCAGTTACAGGGTATTGCATTTTCCTTGGAAATTCTCTCATATCATGGAAATCCAAGAAGCAAGCCAACGTCTCCAGATCATCAGCTGAGGCTGAATATCGAGCCATGGCTAACACATGTTTAGAGCTAACTTGGTTACGCTATATACTACATGACTTAAAGGTCCCTCAGACAACTCCTACACCATTATTCTGCGACAATCAGGCAGCTTTGCACATTGCGGCGAATCCCGTCTTTCATGAACGTACGAAACACATTGAAATAGACTGTCATATAGTACGAGAAAAAGTACAAGCCGGAATGATTAACCCTTCTTTTGTGCCTTCACACTCGCAGCTGGCTGATGTATTTACGAAGGCCTTAGGAAAGGATCAGTTTGTAAGTTTGCGCAACAAGTTGGGACTTCATGACATTCACTCTCCAACTTGAAGGGGAGTATTAGGAAATATCTTATATTAGCTGTATTGTATTAGCTGTATATTTACAGTTTCCATTCTTTATTTACCTTCCAAATTAGTGTAATTTAAATCCCACAAAAAGGGGATCACGGCTTCCAAGCCTTAGACTTAGTCTGCCATATGCGTTGTATTTTTTGTATATATACTGCACAATGTTAATGAAAATATATCTCAATTCCTCCATTACTTGTTCAGCCATTATCATTATTTTATACTCGGAGTTCAGTGATAAATCCACCTACGTCTCTGTGAACTCCCCAGAGGAATTCGATTTGCACTAATCAACAATATTCTGATTACAACATCAATTACAAGAGTAAAACTTTCCAGAAAATCTCAGCCAACTTTCCTAAGAAACCCAAGCAAGAAAATTACAGAGCAAGATAGCCTCTTCTCTAGCCTTTTTTCACTCTAGAACATGTTTCTCTCTCTAAGGCTTTTTCTGTTACAAGCAATTTACTCTCTCTCTCTCTAATCAGTTCTTCAGTTCCCACTTCCTGTAATGTTATGGTACAATATATATATATATAGCTAAAAGATTGAAGAAATATGACTTTTTTAAGCGGTCCAATACTAGTGTTCCAGCTGCATTTAAAACATCGACATCATCTTCTTTATCTCTTAATAATGTTGTCGTATTATTGATGTTGGATAAAAGGAACTGTCATTTTCCTTCTTCTATTCAATATTGCAGAAATAATCTTCCAATGAATTATATGTAATTGAATCAAATTTTTTGTAACAATAATAACAATAAAGTCAACTATATGATACAGAACATATATATATTATAATGAAATGCAAGCTCCTATACAATAATGGAACAAAAATCAGTTTACAACTATAATTTTTTTTGTAAAAATGATAACAATAAAGTCAACTATATGATACAGAACATATATATTATATATATATATAAATTCTCCTTATCGACATTTCCTTCAAAATGGGCTGCCAGCCGCCGAATATCATATTTATTGACTTTAATCAACATTAGAAGGACAATGACATATTTCAAAAGTCAGAATAGATTTGCAATTATTTGAAGAAAGCCAGGTTTCATGGCAAGAATATATTTAGAAAGTAAAAACCATCTTTATTTTTTCCTACTCAAGGATCATGCTATAAACTATAATCCTTGAAAACATCTGCTAGCTATGGAGTTTTCTGGATATTTCATCCTTATGTTACTTGCACCAATAATGGCAATTCCATCAATGGGGTTGTCCAAGTTAAAAGAAGGAAATTTCTTGACAGTGGACAAAGAAAGTGAATTTCTGATCTCACCAAATGGTACCTTCGCTGCTGGCTTTCTCAAGGTGGGCAATAATGCCTTTTGTTTCTCAATATGGTTCACAAATTCTGCAGACAAAACTGTCGTCTGGATGGCCAACAGAGACAGGCCGGTAAGCGCGAAGCAATCCAAAATGACACTCCATGGGAATGGAAACATGGTCTTGACCGATGCCTCCGGCGTAATCGTCTGGTCAACCGACACCTTCTCTACTTCCGGCATGGAAGCTCATCTCCTTGAGACAGGAAACTTTGTCCTGATCGATCAAGCGTCGAAGCTGTTCATCTGGGAGAGTTTCGATTTCCCCACCGACACGCTTCTTCCTCTGCAGCCTCTTGTCAAGAACACAACCTTGGTGTCCATGAGGAGTAAAGGTACTTACCTTAGTGGAGTATATAACTTGAAATTTGATGACAGTAATGTATTGGATCTCATCTATAATGGTCCACAACTTTCAAGTATTTATTGGCCAATAGTGACTAATGGTGTATTTGCTGCGGGTAGAACACCTTACAATAGCTCTAGAATAGCAGTTTTTGATGACTTTGGAGGGTTTCTATCAAGTGATATATTGGAGTTTAAAGCTTATGATTATGGGATTGGCCCAAAGCGCAGGTTAACTTTAGATTACGATGGAGTTTTGCGATTGTACAGTCTAGATGAGTCAACTGGCCTTTGGGACATCTCATGGTTGCCTGGTCGTTTAGATTCTTGCCTTGTTCAAGGCCTTTGTGGGGAATATGGTATATGCAGCTACAAGACCATAAAACCAGCATGCACTTGTCCTAATGGTTTCGAAAGAAACGATCTTTCGGATTGGTCTAAAGGATGCAGACCAAAAGTTAATCTGTCGAGTGATTTGGATACGATGGATTTTATGCAGCTTCTCAACACGGATTACTATGGTTATGACTTGGAAACTCTTAAATTCGGAATTTCCTTTCAAGAGTGCAGGAATTCATGCTTGACAGATACTAGATGCAAGGGGTTTGGATATACATTTGAAGGACGAGCAATGTGCTTCCCAAAAAGTCAACTTCTAAATGGTTATCACATGCCAAATTCTCAAAGTGTCTCGTATATTAAGGTGACAAAACTGAGCTCTCCAACTGTGAATGCTTACGCCGATGATCAGTTGATTTGTTCAGGAGCACAAGTTCTTCTTACCAGTAATGACGCTAAAGGCGAAAAGAGCAAGAACAATGGCTATGTGAAGTACCTCATGGCGTTTGTAGGTTCCTTTGGAGGCATTGAAGTAATCTTTCTCGGCTTGTGGTGGTGGTTTATCTACCGAAAGCGCGTAAATGAGGAGGTGATCAACATGGGATACATTGTCTTGGCCATGGGTTTCAAACGGTTCAAACACGCAGAGTTGAAAAGGGCAACTAAGAACTTCAAAGAAGAGATTGGAAAAGGGGGTTTCGGTTCTGTCTACAAAGCAATTCTCGACGATGGAAGAGTTGTAGCAGTCAAGAGATTGGAAGGCATTTTGCAAGGGAATGCAGAGTTTTGGGCAGAAGTAAGCGTCATTGGGAGCATCAACCATAGAAATTTGGTGAAGCTATGGGGCTTCTGTGCAGAAAAGGAGCACAAGTTGCTAGTCTACGACTACGTCGAAAACGGCTCATTGGATAAATTCTTGTTCTCAGATTCGTCTCCGACACTAGGATTGAAGCAGAGGTACAACATTGCACTAGGCACCGCAAAAGGGTTGTCATATCTACATGAGGAATGCCTTGAATGGGTGCTTCACTGTGATGTAAAGCCTCAAAACATACTGCTAGATGATCAGCTAGAGCCTAAAGTTGCAGATTTCGGCATGTCAAAGCTCTTCAAAGACGTTAACCATGACGCTGGATTCTCTCGTGTTCGAGGCACCAGAGGATACTTAGCCCCAGAATGGATGATGAATCTGAAAATCGATGCAAAGGCAGATGTTTATAGCTACGGGATTGTGCTGTTGGAGCTTCTGACTGGGAAGTGTGTGTCTGATTTCTTCTCAATTATTTCTCATGACAATGAGTTCAATCACTTGGTTCAATGGATTACTGAGAAGATTCGACAAGAAGGGTTAAAGGAAGTTCTTGATCCTAGAATTCCGGATGATGAGTTCGACCAAAAGAAGGTTGAGAGATTGGTGAATGTTGCTTTGTTGTGTGTGCATGAAGATCGCCATTCAAGACCTGCAATGAGTAAGGTTGTCGAGCTTTTGCTAGAAACTGATGAACAAGCCTAGTTTTAAAGATATTAGCAACTATATATGTATTGGAGAAACTATATATATATGTTGTACAATTTACTTGCACAAAGACTAGACAATGTTATTTAGCTGTTGCAAATATTCAAGGACGAAGTTGTAAGTTTATACAAGCATAATAATGATCTGTGTGATTCAATTTTTACTGTCAAAATTAATTACAATTTGCTTATTTTAAGACTCAAAAACTACATAGAAAAAGTCCATTAGAAAAATTGATAAGGAAAGAAAAATAAAACGAATCGCACTCATCTGCTAAGCGTAGCTAGGTTAAACGGTACAATGCTATATCAACCATGCTCATGTACATATAGTACACATGCGTAAATTCTGTGCATAGAACATAGAAGTCAAAATAGATCAGAAAATGTTTGCCGTTTTTATAAAGAAATATTCAAGCTAGGCTAGTAAGAGAAGGAATACAGGTAATACAGGTAATACAGGTAAAAAGTCGAGAAGTCAAAGAGGCCCCGATCTCACTAAGGCTCCTTTCGAGTCAAGTTCCGTAACCGTTAATAGCGGCAGTGAATGGATTTCGGCCAGAACGGGAGCGGTCACAATAGGAACAGAATGAAACAAGCGCGAAAGACCAAACCAAAAAAAATCCTATATAAATTGAAATACCGCACTCAGGGCCTCATAGAGGGATAAAATTTTATTTCTACCCCTTAATATTAGTTCATATATTTTTATCTTTTAAATTAAAATTAATTAAGAGTTATAATTTTTTAAAAAAGATATATTTTTAACGAGTTAAGTACTTAAAAAAATAAAATCTGTAATTTTCTCAACGAGTACGACACGTTAAGAGCCCAGCATGAGCATGAGCTCAAGCACGTTAAAGAGATAATTACTCTTTTTACCGCAAAAATCTAGTGTGGATCGACTACTATTAAGACCACAAAAACTATTACCTTTTCTGCCATGTAGCAGAATAAAATTTAGAATAAAAAGACTAAGTGTTTGTTCATTTTGTTGATTCGAGTTTATAATTTGAGTTGAGATATAATTTTGTGTAAGAATTTTTTATTGTAATAAAAAAGTTAAATATGACTATTTTTGAGAGTTTTTTACTGTAATAAAATTTAAATTTTAAACTTGAATCGGCGAAATAAACGGCCTTAAAATAGCCACAGCTTTTTTTTCCTGGATAGTTTTTTTTTCCTCCTCTTCTTCTCTATTTCGCACATCTCTTTCTTCCTCGTGCTTATTGGCCGCCACCATGGAGGTTACTCGTCGGAGCTCGAAGCCAAGTAGTTCTCCCGATCTCCTTACCGCTTCGCCATGGATCTTCGATCTCCTCACTGGTCGCCATAGATCTTCGAGATCTGTCTTCGTTGTTGACGGAGATGATGCGAATATTGCAAACCAGATTTATCCTCGGCACCCTGTTTTCTCAGCGGAGTTCGACGCTGAGGAGCTCGATGCGAAGCTTCCCACCTCTGCCTCTTCCTCCGTCGGGAGATGCTTCCCCAAACAGACCGGCGCCGTCGTTACTCTGAGGAGCCGATCCACTCCGCCGTCGAGATTTCCAGCATTGGCTTGATCGCCTCCAGATCTACGACGAACCACAAATGCAGCACCATGAGCCAAGGCCGAAGACCTGCGGGAGATCTCTCTCATGGCGGCGCGTTCAAGATCCGCTATTGTTTTTTCATCATTTACATTTTTTTCTAATCTGGAATGTGATTTTTGTGATTTTTCTTTTCTGTGAGTTGGTTTTCCGATTGGCGGCCGCCGGTAACGGTGGTTTCGGACAATTTTTGGTGATTACCGGTCGGTGACTCGGTAGTTACCAATCGGTAACTAGTATCTTGGCGGATACCAATCAGTATCTTGTAAGATACCAGAGACTTGGTTGGCGTCGGTGGTTGGTGGCTGCCGGCGACTACTGCCGCCAATGCTGGTGATTGTTCGTCGGATACCACCGGGTATCTCGGTATTACATAGTAAAAATTCTTTTTACGAGTCCTAAATAGAAAATTTACGTGGTAAAAAACCTCTTTTACCAGTCATCAAAAGAATGGTAAAATTTCTTCTTATCAACTGTAAGTAAAAATTTATATGGTAAAAATTCTATTTTATTGTTATTTGCTTTAAATAATTTAGAATATGTTATTTATTTAATTTTGTTTTATAAAAATGTTATTTCCTAGAATTTATGAATAAAAAGGTTGTTGTTTTCATAGGTAATGTAAATGGTCAAGCCTAGAACACCGTCAAGATTAGTGCCTGAGATTAGAACGTCAAGCTAGTTCGGCGCATGAATAGAATCAACCGGCCAGGATCGGGTATGTGGTCGAGTGAGGTATGCAATTTTTATGTTATTTGAATAGTTTAAGGCCGTTTATTTCACCGATTCGAGTTTAGAATTCGAGTTTTATAACAGTAAAAAGCTCTCTAAAACAATCATATTAAACTTTTTTGTTACAGTAAAAAATTCTCACATAAAATCACATCTCAACTCAAATTAAAAACTCGAATCAACAAAATAAACGGGCTCTAAAAAATTATATTTTAATCCCTAAATTTTTTTTAAAAAATTTATAGATTGACTATAATCTTTAAAAAATTATATTTGCAAGAAGGCCTTTATTAATCACATGTGCCTTTTCCCCTTGTGAACTGGAGCTACAACCCTAACCGTCCTATCGGCCCGACTTCGATGCCTACCACGATTCGTTGTTTTGACCCGGCATTGTCACGCGGTAGTCTATATGTTTATTTACTTTTTTGTTTTACAAAAATATGTAACACAATGAAAGGTAGTTATCGAACATTAATTTTTTTTTTCCAAACAAAAAAAGACAAAAACAAGAGAAAATGTTTTGTTTTTTTTTTTTTTGTTTTTTTACCTTTAGAAAACTTAAAACGAAAGTGTTATCAAACGAGCCCTAGTCAATGTGGTGTTTAGATAAATTTTTACAAGTAGAAGTCGTATAAGATTGCATGTATTATGTATTTTACGAAATCAAGTGCGTGTCAAAATAAGGACAAGAAGTAAAGAACTCAAAGAAATTCAATTTCGCAATATCCATGCTCTGATCATGATGACTGCTCTACACACAAGAAGCAAACAAGAACTCAAAGAATTCGAATTCCTAATGTCCATACAATGATTATGACAAAATAAAGTTTTCTTTTCAAAGCTTGACCGTATTTAGAAAGAAGCAAGGAGATTCTAACATGTCAAAGTATTTAAACACTGAATTTTTAAATTAAAATTTGACACAATTACATGTAAAGCCTTACCTAAGAAAATCTTTAATCTAGCACTCTCAGGGATAAGAAGAATGTCCTATTCAGATTTTATATTGTTAATGTAATAAAAAAATGTCTCTGTTCCTAGACCTTTTAGCTCGTTCCCTTAATGTCATAGTATTAGACAAATTTACCCTTACAAATATGTTTTGTTGGACTTCAGATCACGCGGTCCATAGCCCAATAGTTAACATGCTTGGATTTTGTTTCAAATGAAATCTGAAGAGGAAAACATCATTTGGAATATAAAAATTTCTACAATCCGCCGGCCGTACCCATTTTATAAATGTAAATTTTTTTGTCCGTTCCATATTTCATTTTCCTTAAGTATTAACACTTAAAAAAATGTAATCTATCACCATACTATATTAAATTTACTTTAATGTTACCATGTTATACTAAAAACAAATAAATCTGTACGAAAAATGTCACAGATCGTATCGACCCTAGACTGAAGATTTTGTCTCGGATTATTATGCATTATATTCTAATACTTGGCATTAAGTATTTAGGAGACATTTGGTTCATGGATTAGAATCATGTGATTAGAATCATTTTCGATTTACGTGTATTTTTTGTAAGAGAAAACACTGTAACGAATCATGAACCATAATTCAAATCATGGTTTGAATATTCAAACCAAACGTCCCCAGTCTCTACCAACTCATTGAGAGATTATCATCAGTAGAATTTTTTATTTTTTGTTTAAATGTTCATCAGTAGAGAATTGAGAAGTAAGGTGAGAAAATGCAAGAAAAGTGAATTAAGTGTTTAAACACAAAAAGAATCTAGAGAGAATTTTGGATCTGAAAGTATCATATTATTACTTAATAATGAATGTGTCAATACATCAGCTATCCATAGAAACTAGATTAGAAAGCATATTACAAGAACTGATATTTCTGTAAAAAGGCGGACCTCAGTGCCAAAGAGGCTCCCGTACTATGACAGGTTTGAGAGAAAGTTCAATCTCATATGTACGCAGCCTTACCCTCCGAAAGAGAGCCCGTTTTCGGAATTCGAACCTTGGACTCCGGGTGCAAACGCAAGCGCTCCTATCACGGTGCCAAGACCCGCCTTCAAGAACTGATATTTCTGTAATATCGATAAATACTGGAGGCTTGCCTAGATTAAAGCATTCAATAAAAGAGGTTTTGCCCACCTTGTTGCCCGAATAATGTGGGCATAACCCGCGCCATTAAGGTTGGTAGTCCGTTCCACCCCCATTTACATCCCTAATCAGGTCTACTCCCTAGTCCTCGTACATTTGACACTTCTACTATGTAGGGATAATTTTCTTGACCACTAATTTTTGCTCAGGATATTATATTTCGATGTCTAGTACTTCTAGAATTTGTACCTTAAAAATAATAAAAACTAAAAAGCACCATGAAAATTCCACACGGCAAACAAATTAACGAGGTGCCATGCAACTTCCAATTCTTTTTTTTTTTTTAAGAAAAAAAAAATAGAAAAGAATACCAAACTTTAAACTTATTTGCCACTTTCCAGTCAACTGTACGTCTTATACGCATATATTAATGCATACTATTTGGAAAACAGCTAAAACATGTGATCAATCCAAGTTGATTAGTGGAAAGAAGAAAGTTGAATAGAAAAGTAATGGGTCAGTTCTCCATGTTTTGCATTCATATAGAAGAGTTTCATAAACATTAAACAATCAACACTTTTACTTCAAAACATCTCCTTTCTCCAACCTCTACATTTTCCCCCCCCAAAAAAAAAAAAAGAAGAGAAACCAGTGGTATGGAATTTGCTGGATTTTTTATTCTCTTGTTTTTGGCAACAACAACAGCTTGTATCAAAGCAAGTTCATCTCCGGCCTTATCAAGTTTGAGACAAGGAAGTTTCTGGACAGTAGATGAAAAAGAGAGAGAAACATTCTTGGTCTCACCAAATGGAACTTTCTCTGCTGCATTTCACGAGGTCGGCATTAACGCCTTCTGCTTCTCGATATGGTTCACCAGATCTGCAGACAAAACTATCGTCTGGATGGCGAATAGAAACACGCCTGTTAGTCGTAAGAAATCCAGAATGACTCTCCACAAGAATGGAAACATGGTCTTGACTGATGCCTTTGGTTCAAGCGTATGGTCAACCAACACCTTTTCTGCTTCAACTGTTGAAGTTCGGCTTCTTGAGACCGGAAACCTTGTTCTGTTCGACCAAGGGAAGGAAAAGATCATCTGGGAAAGTTTTGATTTTCCCACAGATACGCTCTTACCATTACAACGCCTTGTGAAGAACACAACCTTGGTGTCTATGAGAAGCAAAGGTTCGTACCTGAATGGAATCTATAACTTCAAATTTGATGATAACAATGTGTTGAACCTCATTTACGACGGACCTCAAATTTCAAGTATATATTGGCCTAGAAAAGCAGGGGGTGATGTCTTTGATCTCGGTAGGACACCTTACAATAGCTCTAGAGTGGCAATTTTAGATGAGTTTGGGAGGTTCGTATCGAGTGATCTAATGGAGTTTAGAGCATCTGATTATGGATTTGGTCCGCTGCGTCGGTTAACATTAGATTATGATGGGATGCTGAGATTGTACAGTCTAGATGAGTCAACTGGGCATTGGGATATCTCATGGTTGCCTAGTGCTATAGATTCTTGCCTTGTTGATGGCATTTGTGGTGAATATGGAATATGCAGCTACAAGTCCATAAAACCAGCTTGCACTTGTCCTTTTGGTTTTGAAAGAAATGATCTTTCGGATTGGTCTAAAGGATGCAGGCCTTCATTTAATCTGTCGCGTGATTCGAATACATTGGATTTTATGCAGCTTCTCAACACGGATTACTATGGTTATGACTTGGAAACCCTTAAATTTGGAATTTCCTTTGATAAGTGCAGGAATTCATGCTTGACAGATACTAGATGCAAGGGGTTTGGATATTCATTTGATGGACAAGCAATGTGTTTCCCAAAAGGTCAACTAGTCAACGGTTATCAAATGCCAGATTCTCAAAGTGTCATGTATATTAAGGTACCAAAGCAGAAAGTGAGCTCTCAAACAGGAACAGTGAATGTTAAAGTAGATGGGTTGAGTTGTACACGAACAGAAGTTGTTCTCACCAATAATGATGCTGAAGGGAAAAAGAGAGAAAACAACGAGTACATGAAATATCTCGTTGCATTTGTTGGTTCCTTTGGAGTAATTGAAGTAATCTGTCTCGGCTTTTGGTGGTGGTTCATCTACCGAAAGCGCGTAAATGAGGAGGTGATCAACATGGGTTACATGACATTAGCAATAGGTTTCAAACGGTTCACATACAAAGAGTTGAAAAGGGCAACTAAGAACTTCAAAGAAGAGATCGGGAAAGGAGGTTTCGGATCAGTCTACAAAGGGATTCTGGATGATGGAAGAGCTGTAGCAGTCAAGAGACTGGAAGGCATTTTACAAGGAACTTCAGAGTTTTGGGCAGAAGTAAGCGTTATAGGGAATATCAACCACAGAAATCTCGTCAAACTTGGGGGTTTCTGTGCAGAAAATGAGCACAAACTGTTGGTCTATGACTATGTTGAAAATGGCTCATTGGACAAATTCTTGTTCTCAGACTCATCTCCGGCACTAGGATTTGAGCAGAGGCACAAGATTGCAGTTGGCACCGCAAAAGGGTTGTCATATCTACATGAAGAGTGCCTTGAATGGGTGCTTCACTGTGATGTAAAGCCTCAAAACATACTGCTAGATGATCAGCTAGAGCCTAAAGTTGCAGATTTCGGCATGTCAAAGCTCTTCAAAGACGTTAATAATGATGTCGGATTCTCTCGGGTTCGAGGGACTAGAGGATACTTGGCTCCAGAGTGGATGATGAATCTGAAAATAGATGCAAAGGCAGATGTCTATAGCTATGGGATTGTGCTGCTGGAGCTTCTGAGTGGAAAGTGCGTGTCTGATTTTCTCTCTGATACTGCTCATGACAATGTGTTCAATCATTTGGTTCAGTGGATGACTGAAAAGATCAGACAAGAAGGATACACGGCAGTCATTGATCCTAGATTACTGAACGATGATTTCGACCCGAAGAAGGTTGAGAGCTTGCTGAATGTTGCTTTGTTGTGTGTGCATGAAGATCGTCACTCAAGGCCTGCAATGAGTAAGGTTGTGGAGCTTTTACTAGAAGCTGATGAACAAGCATAATATAATATTGGAATCATTTGTTGTTTTACATTTTCCTTTCTGAGAAAAACAAATAATTAGTTTTTTTTTTCTTTTTTAATAGTTTTAACAAGTCGTTTCAATTCAAGGAAGAAGCTGCTCAATTTATATTTTCATGTAATTCAATTTGTCTGATACAAGGAAATTTGTTTATCTCTTGTTCTCCTACAATTTACTTGCGGAATAGGAATAAGTTTGTCGGTCCATCTCGTATTCTAATTTGTCCGATTTATATGATTAGAGTGCTACAAAAAGTTGGGATTATAATTGATAACTTTAGAATTATTCTTATTTTAATATAACTCTTTATGATCGGGTCCTTCTAAAATAAGTACCAGTTTTCTGTTATATTTATTTATTTACTAATTTTGAAAAGGGAGAGTATATTTCATAACGAGAAATTCACACCCACATAGTCTACCACAGGAAATAGAGCTCAAAGAAAAATAGTGTGTACTGAGCTCCACAAATGGACACTCGAGGAGGTACACCAAATATCAAACGCATATACGACTCTTTAGCAACTTTGTGGCGACAAACCCTATCAACATTCCATTTATTCACAGGTTGTGCCTTTAAAATGCTAGTGTCGTACCATACCCAAGACGTGTCTTTTTATCATGCTCTTAATGGGCCCGTGCTTTAAACATGCCCAAATCATGCCTTAGAGCATACACTTACCATGCTCAATAGCAAATTTTGCAACAAAAAACAAGAAAACTAATGAAAATGAACCCGCTTTTCTTTGTAGCCAGATGGCTTATGTTTCCGAATTGCTTCTTAAGGTGTCAAAAATATGCTCTTTTTATGCTCTTCCTCTACCAATAAACAATAGATTGAACGTTATGACAGAAACTCTCTCGCAAAGAACTCTGGGGTCGTCAAAATCGACTATCATTTGTCATTAAATTTCAAATTTCTTTCCCAAAATCAGACATTTCATTCATGAATCAGCCATGACTAGAAAAGATGAGCCCAAGTTCTATGACCCTCTAAAAGTAAAAAACTAAAAATATTATAAGGACACACAGTTATTGCACCCCACTCCATCTAGCCCAGTCCACGAACTGCATTCCGCCGTAAATGTTGTTTGCAAATCGCACACCAACAGTGAAAGCCATAGCCACTTGTGGAACCTGCTTTGCCAAAAGTGACCCTTCTACCAAGCGTTCAAGGCCATTGATAATCTGATAACGAGTGTTGGAAGACACTGCAAGGAAAACACCTGCAAGTTTGGGAATACCAAGACAAGAACAAAGATTAGTTGTATATACCTAAAATCAAGAATTATATAAAACTAAGATTAAGGAAGTAGAAAATGAGAAAGTAGCCACTTATCTATGCAGTTATTGATAATAAACTTGGTTATAAAATCATAAATTTCTAACGCGAGTAATAAGCTTGCTACATCATAGTAAGTTCAAAGCAATGACGTTGGCATACCCCAAAGAGCTGCACTCTTCAATAGAGGTGGCACAGGTATGTCCTCTTCTGATTTCCTTATGTTCCTGTCATTTAGGGGGGGGGGGGGGGGGCAAAAAAAAAAAAAAACCCCCCACAGTGTCAATAAAAAAAGATAACCACCACAGTTACTTGATTAAAGTCACATTTAAGAGCAGCAAACACAGGGGGGTTGTTGGTTTGAGGAGGCGCAAGTAAAGAAGCAACAGACGACAAATCATGCCTTTCTACATGTAGTTTGAGTGTTCAAAATGCAGGTATGTGAACGCATAAGAAATGATGCCACGAAATATATAAATCATCTTTGTAACACAATGCCACAACCTATTATGAATATTGGTGGGGTTACAATAAACATATTTATAAATACAGAGGATGTCTCTAAATAGAGGTTTACCGCTTGGCAGTCATAATCAGATTTGCAATGCCTTGGCCAATAATACCACAACCAAAACCAACTGCTCCATACAAGATACCCTGCAAAGCAAAAGAGAACATCGATGCTGCATAAGATGCCAAAACAGAAACTAGCACAAGTCATGTCTGCGTAAATATATACCTTGTAGAAATAAGTAGCAATTCTCTGTTGCACAGAAAATCTACATCCCGGCCTTTCTGCTTCAAATACACTGCATAACAGGATCAGAGAGTCATAAAATTCTTCACTACAACTTAGTAGATGTGGAAGAGACTGCAGATTATCTTCGTTAGAAAAAAATGAGAGCTTATTCTCAGAAAGAATAATAACCTGCTAGGAAGCGCTGCATAAGCATGTTGCAAATTTCCAAGGAAACCTTTTGATAAAGACGGTTGCCCGATACGAACATATGGTGCCAACATACCAACTAACGCAACATTAACCACCACTCCAACCAAAAGATCTGCCAAATACAACTCAAATTCTGACCAGAAATCTTTGCCCCGCTTCTGAACTTCCGCAAATGTAGCACAACAAGAATCAATTACTATCTGCATCAATTTAGGTTAAAAACGATAGAATTTAGACAACAAAAAAAAGACAGAATTCAATGACAAAGATGTTGAATACACCCTTACAACTTTTACTCGATAATTTTTTATAAAAACACTTTTGTAGCCGTCACACAAACTACAAGCACTCTCGACTGCATAGGATACGACCACGGCTCAACCATGAAAGCCTCAGTTATTGGTTCACCTAGGCAAGAACTTACAGCTACTAAGGAAAACCAATATCTCTCTCATACCAAAAGAGAAACATGGTATCATCGTATCTTACTTCTACAATTTAATTAGAGAAAAAAGGACAAATTTAACAGTACATCAAATCAAACGAACCTCAGTTCCAATTTTGAAAAGAAATGACGGATCAGCCAACATTCGGTTGCGAAGCATAGCGCACGACCTCATTACAAAGCCTAGAAGCCCAGAAGACCCCTACAAAACACGAGACAAATAATAACGCTCTTGTAAACCACATTGTACCGCGACATTGTACCATTGATCCAAAATACATGAAAAAACACCAACTAAAATCAAAAGGGTACCTGCAAATCCAAGTATCTAAGCAGAAGCAACCTCCGAATTCCGACACTCTTGGCGGCCTCCAACATGTCGGAGGGAAGACTCGCCCCTCGAGCCTCGGCCTCTTTCATCACCTCTTCGAACTTCATGATCGGCCCAAACTCCTCTCCTTCCTTGTCATCCCCATTGTCATTTCCACCACCACCATTACCACTACCATTGCCATCACCTTCACCACCATTCCCAATTCCTCCATTACCATTATTGCCATCAAATTCACTTTCATCAAAATCGCCATCACCACCAACTATTCTTTGCTCTTTCTCACTCTCCAAAACCTTACTTTCCTTGGGAACCGTAACTGCACCAACAGGGAATTGGGTTTCATCATTCGACTCCGACATATTGTTCACAATCACAAATTTATGTTTTTTCTTAACTAAAACATGTCCAAAACTACTGTCCCTACAAAACAAAGGCAAAGCAACTTCCTCTACAACATGCCTAAATCCTAATCTGTGAAATGATGAGCTCTGAACCAATATCTTCCTCGAAACGACATCGTTTCCGAAGCTCAACACACGAGAGGCCCCTAAACTCGAAGAACAACCCGCCATAACTCGGTCAAGTCGACAAATTGCAATTTTAGCGATGTAAACGAGCAAGAATTTTCAGAAAAAAAAATGAGAGAAAATTAGGTAAAGAAAGTTTTCAGCTTTGGCTGTTTGGCTGGAGAGAAAATTCCAGGTGATGGAGAAAGGAGTTCCTACTAAAAAAAAAACTCCTCACTGGCTGCAGCTTGCTCTGCTGCGGGTCTGAAATTTGTGAGAGTCGCACGTGCGAAGGACATTGTAAGCGTGCGGGAATCTTTAGGGTTTTGCTAACTTACGCGGGGGTGTAGTGCTTGAGAATTTGGAAGTTGGAAAATGGAACTGACTTCTACCCTTTTGCCAACTTCTGCTAACGAACGCCGAGTTGCCTGCGCATTTTAGTAAAATATTATTATTATTATTTTTTTTCGTTTTGGGACAATCAAAAGGTCAAGTAAAGCGCGCGCGCAAACGTACAACTTTTTCCTTTTCTTTTCTTTTTTTTTTTTTTTGTTCGGAATTGTTTGTTTTATTTGGGGAAGACTATTCTACGTACGTAACAGTCAAATTAGTCAATGCAGCTTAAAAGAGGGTCTATGTGTCCTCCGCGTTTAATCTAATCAAGGAAAATATCATTTTGATTCTTGTATCATATCGGAATATGCTTTTGAAAGTATTATGTGCTTTAGATTAAATTAAAATTAGTATCTTAACGTTTAAAAAAAATTATACTTTAAAACTATTTGTTAAGACGTAAAATGTCATTTCTATCATTGTATTTAATTTGTCTAGAGTTTATTTTTTATAAACATATTAAATCCTTTCATTCCAACGGGTAGAATCTCACGAAAATGAGTTCTAACCCGATCCTAAGATTTTTAGGCGGTTTGTAGAGAAATTACGGGTGCGTTTGGAATTGATTTCAAAATGATTTTATTTTCTGTATGAAAATGGAAATAAAAACGTTTTCATTTTCATTTTGAAATTATTTCTGAAAATGCGTTTTGTAGTTTTATTCAGAGATTGATTTCAGTTTTAAAAAAAACTGACACTGCATTTGGTGGTTTAATTTTTAAAAACATATAATAATATTTAAAATAATAATATATTAAATAAATAATATTATTAAATATATTAAATAAACATGATTATATACATCAAAACTGCAGAAAGAAGAGGAGGGCGGCGCAGTCGTAGTCGGCGTGGCCGGGGCAGTCCACGTGGGCGTAGTGGCAGTTCGCAGTCGTACTCGACGGGGGGACGCCGACTTGCTTGGTGAGCAAGATGTGCTCCTTTGTCGCCGTCGGCCCCGGAGACGATGAGAATCGTGCCATCCATTTGAGCGGCGCAGATGGTCATGTTCTTGACGTAGTCGGCGTGGCCAGGGCTGTTCACGTGGGCATAGTGGCAGTTCGCAATCATACTCGACGGTGGCGGTGTTGATGGTGGGGGGGGGAGACGACGAGAATCGCGCCATACATCTGAGCGGCACCGGTGGTCATGTTCTGGGCTGATGAATGGCTGAAGAATGGCCGAAGCAGAAAAAAAAAAAAAAAAAAAAAAAAAAAAAAAAAAAAAAAAAAACTCAGACGGGGGAGGCTGAAGAGAAAACGTGAGAGAAAAGGAAAAGAAAATGAAAATTAAGAAAACAGTTTTTTTTCGTTTTCTGATTTCCACAAAATGACAAAAATGATTTTGTTTTTGTTTTTTAAAAAAACTTACACCAAACGCGTTTTTAACACCCGTTTTCAATTTTTTTTTTCGAAAAACGTGAAAAATGAAAATAGAAACAGAAACAAACAGGCCCTACAGTTTCAACTATAAAAATAGGTAAGTTACATCTGCATTTTTATGTCACGGGTATTAGGATTTGGAGTCTTCTCTTGTTTACATTTTTTTTCTTATTTTTATAAACACTTTTTTCTTCATAATGCATGAAATTGATTTTAAGGGTGACAATTCATGTTAGTGGGTTGTGTTCGTATTAATCCTTTTATTAATTATGTCAGAAAACATTAACCCAAACACGACATGTTTATTAAACGTATCAAAAATGTCAATCCAAACACAACTCATTTATTAATCGTGTTAAACATGTCAACCCGTATAACCCATTTAAATTAATATATTGAATAAATAACTAACATGATAGTAACATATTTAACACGGACAAGACAGATTTAATATGTTTATTGGTCAATTTATCTTTTCATTTAAGAAAAATAAATAAATTTTACCTACAAATATTAAAATTTACATTATTTGTATTTAATATGTCATATAAACTTTCATGTTATATCACATATTATTATATTGTAGATAACACATATAATTAATCGTGTCAATTCGTATTAGGAGGTCAATCATAACCCATCATATTTATTAATCATGTTAATTGTGTCAACCGATTATAATACAAACCTATTTATTGCAAACTCAAACTCACTAACTTCGTACGGATTTCAAGTCACGTCATCATTGTCAACCTTAAATTTGCTTATTTTCTCTCCTTGTTTCCCATTGAGGGTCTAATCTTTGTAATTAATAGATTTGAAAAATACTTGAAAAAGAAATTAAAAAAAAATACTTCCATCCTTGCTAGGAGCATCACATGAGCACAAAAGGCGGGCCTATATGGTCCCAAGCCTCCAAGAAGGCTCAGCTCGTCCAAAAATATACCTCCAAAGAAGGGAGAAAGAAAGAAATAGGCCAAGACTTGATATGCATTAAAATTAATAAGCCAATAGTTTACATAAGTTAATAAATAGGCCAAATTATTGTTTCCGTCCATAACTTGTCTGGTTATGAACCATAACTTGATAAGTTATTGTCCATAACTTATCTGATTATGAACCATAACTTCACAAGTTTGTCCATAACCTATCTGGTTATGAACCATAACTTGACAAGTTTGTCCATAACTTATCTGGTTATGAACAATAACTTGACAAGTTATGGCCTATTAATTTCTATAACTAAAAAATGGTCTATATACTTTCTTAAACTTTTTATATTGGCCTATTTCCTACTATTTCCCTCCAAAGAAAGACCTGAATAGGTAGAGTCTGAAGAGTACACTCTCGAGCATGCTCCTAGGTAATTGATAAAATTAGATTGTGTCTCTCATAATAATTTCAACTTTTGAAATGATTGATTCTGTCAATCTCACATCAGTTGGTATCTGAGTTCAAGTTCTTGTATTCAAGTCCTCATGGGAAAATCGGTGGTTTTCCTAATTTTCTTCTACATTAGCTGAGGTCCTGAGCATTTTTCTTATACCGTCTAATTTGGTTATTTTCTTTGAGTTTGTGTTCTTCACACTAGAAGTTTTATTTGAAGTGTGCTTGATGCTTTTAAAGAAGTGCAGCAATCTTAGAAAGTCCTTTGGAAAATTGTCTAGGTCTTCCCTCAACCATCATTGGAGAGTTCTTGAAGTTCTTGAGCTTTTCTGACGAAGTTCGAATCTTCCTCCGCGAGACGGCCTTAGTTCGTCTCTAGAGCACATTTTCAAAATGTCAAAGAGCTTCAAAACCTCATCGTCATAATCACCCTTAAAAAGGTCATCTCTTCCCCATTATTTCCAAAAACACCAAAAATTTCCCTCTAAAGGTGACTAGGTTCACCTCCATAGCAAGCCTCGACCAATGTCGCTACCACAAATAGTTTTGCCTCCCTTTAAATTACATCTCATCAACCGTTTGGTTGCTCCTCCCACCATACTTCACTAACGTGGTTCTTTTATTGTTGTTTTCTTATTCTCTTTGTTTTTGCAGTAGTGTTTCCAATCTAGTGCGGCATCAATTTTTTTGTTCGTTTAAGTTGCGGAAGGAGCAATGCTGCTATGTTTTCACATTCAAGGGAAGAGAATGATAGGATTTTAAATTGCATAATGTTGATTTTAAAAAAAGGGATAAAATCATTTTGGCAACCTGTATTGTAGCGAATCATGTTCTTCATACCATGTATTTTTGATAATATTAAAACGGTTTCTTGACCTTTTAAAAAAAAATTCTTGGTACCTTGAAGCTAATTTTTAGGACATATAATGTCCAAACAACCATTTTTATCAATTAAATAGAAATTAGTATTTTTTTGAAAAAAAACAAAGAAAATATTTGAAAATATTAAAATATTTAAAAGAAAACAACAAAATAAAAAAGTTAAAAGATTTTTTTTTTTTTTGCTAAATCTATTATTTTTTTATTAATTACATAAAAGGGTAGTAAGGTTAGTTTATATCTAAAGAATCAGCTTTATGGTACCAAGAAGATGTTTTTAAAAATGTTGAGATACCACTTTAGTATTATGAAAAACACATGGTATCAAAAACATGTTTCGCTATAACACATGATACCAAAATGATTTTATCCCTTTAAAAAAATGAGGACTGTTCAGGAAAAAAAGACAACTAATTTCAAGACGAGATAACATTGAAACGTGGTGCCGACAGAGGTTCTCCTTTAAGGTAAAACTAATTTTGTAACGTGCTCCGCACGTATTGTTATGTTGGAAACACCTGAAAAGTTTATTGTTTACTAAATAATGAGAAATTCATTTATACATCCATTTAGGATTTTTTTTAATTTATTTTAAAAGGAATATGTGTAAAGACAACACTTAATGAAAAATTAAGTAAGGACACATTTGAAGAAAGTAATTTTAACTAACCAAAAATAAAATAATAAGACATGCGAAAAAATTACTCGAATAAAGTGAGGAACGCCATATTTAAAAAAAAAACACACACACAACAAAATTAAATTTTTAAAAAATTACAAAAAATAAAGAAAGAAAGAAAAAAAAAGAACTAAATTGAGGGGTTGCTTCGTGGCAGCCCTATAAAAAAGATCATTGGCTCTTTTATGTATTGATAGACTAGTCTTTGCGCACGTGATTCATTTAAAATAATAATTTTACGCATTGTGTTTTCTTTTTTAAGAAAAGAAAGAAATGAGAAAAAGACAAAAAAAAAATAAAGACAAAAGTATGAAAAGATTTAAAGCAAAAGATAAGAGGAAAATTTTTTTAATAAACAATTTAATAAGTTTTATAAATGATTTATTTATAAAACAATTTATAAACAAAAAAAGATTAAACAATTTATAAATAATTTATTTTTTTAACGGGTGCTCAATTCTTTTATTTTCATTTTAGAAACAATTTATTCATTTTTTTATCTTTTTTTTGGTTAATGCAATGTTGATATGTGCCCACTTTCATCATGGGATTTGAAATTAATTCTATTTACTATTATTTAATTTATTTTTTATAGCAATTTTATCACAAGAGTATTGAAAATTTAGTACAAAATTGTATTAAAACAGATAAAATCAACCATAAATAACTCTAAAATAAATAAATAAATAAATAAACACAATAAACAAAACCAATACAAAAAAAATTTTTGTACAAAACACCCTCCGCTCTCTTACACGTGAGACCCACGCCCCTCTCTCTCTTTCTCTCTCTTTTCTTATGTGGGACCCACTACTCCTCCCTCTTTCTCGCTTTCTCAGGCAAGCTCACTCTCTCTCATACCCCCCTGCACGTGGGCCCCTCTGCTCCCCCCTCTCTCTCTTCCCAAGCGGGAGAGTCAGGAAGGACCACCACTCTCCCCTCTCTCTCTCTCTCTCTCTCTCTCTTTCCCATGCAAGCTCTCTCTCCACCAGAGCAAAAAAAAAAAAAAAAACGCCGCGTGGCTTATTTTGGGGAGGAGAAACGGACGAAACGTTTCGTCCCTCCCCAAAAAACGGATTCGTAGATGGTATGGATAAAATAAAACAATGTATACGCGCTTTTTTTTTGTTTGTTTTCGGCCTCAAATCATCAGTTTGGAGGCGTACATAGTTCAACAGTAAAGAACGAATGCACATTTTGTCATTCTTTAAATCATAGTAACTGTAAGTTGTACATCACCCTAACAAATACAAAAGTTTTGCCACTAACTTCTCACGAATCACATCTTCTCCAGTCACACAAAGAATCTGTACAAACGAATTAAATTATTTAGATTTGGAACGGGGGCAAGTTTTATCAAGAAACAATACCTACAAATTTACCAATTATCAAGGGGGACACTGTTGGTCCTCACATTTCAAAATAGCCATCCGTTGGGACCTTGAATAACCTTGCCTCTTCTTAAGTATGTCGATGTAAGTTCGGAGCCTATACCGGTCTGAACTTGTCAAAGAGAACGGAGGATTCAGAATAAGGGATGGTGCTTCCACCAGAAGGAAGACTAACAACCGAACACCTTTCGAATAAAATGTCGTTGCACGTTCCATGTCACCCATTAACTCATCAACCTACACGAAAATCCCATTACCTCAGCAACCGACCCGAAAAGCCGCCCATAAATGCCAGTCTACATCAGTTTGGCGAAATTTGAATCAGGGGAAAAAAAAAGAAAAAGAAGCAAGAAAAAGAAAAACCCACCATTACTACTATATGTGTTTCAGTAGAAACTCAGGATATATCAGAACCTATGAAGAGATGGACTTGCTCTAGTGGCATTTAGGACTTTAAAAGATGCATTGAAACACAAACCAGACAGGTAAAACATAATGTGCGTGTTTTGAACCGTTTTTGAAAACGGTTTTCACGTTTTTTGAGAAGTAAAAAATGAAAATGAAAACGAAACTTCTTTTGTTTAGCAAAGATTTTGAAAACGAAAACAGGGAGAATGGTTTTTGTGAAGGAATTAGAAAACAGTTGAAAGTTATTCACTTTTCTATTTTCATTTTTTAGTACTTATCAACAATATTATAATATATTAATTAATACACACATTTCACTTTTTTATTATACTCAATAATCTCTTAAAAAACCAACCAAACGTAATTTCAAAATCGGTTCTAGAATGATTCTCAAAACAATCTCATTTTTACTTTTTATTGAAAACAGAATTATTTTGAAACCAATTCCAAACGCACCCAATATAACAAGAAATGCGTGAGCGGTT